TCCCCCCGGCCAGCTTTCCCCAGTTTATGTACTGAGCATGACGTCACATGGTATGGAATGTCCCTTTGGCCAGTTTGGCTGTGCCCCCTCCCAGCTTCTTGTGCACCTCCAGCCTTCTCAGTCGGTAGAGCATGGAAAACTAAAAAGTCCTTGGCTAGTGTAAGCATTACCTAGCAACAACTAAAACATCGGTGCGTTATCAACTTTGTTCTCATCCTAAATCCAAAACACTGTACTATACCAGCTACTAGGAAGAAAATTAACTCTATCCCAACTGAAACCAGGACAGCGTGTCATGTATCTTTTCTATTTTGAAAGTGTGACAGTAAAGGACAGCAAGTGAAGAAGCTGGTAGAGGAGATATGCAGAGATGAAGTGCATCTGTGCGAAGAACTGAGAATAAGCTTTGAACTACAAAAAGACTGTGAGAGGTATGGCTTTTTAGTATGGTGAAGAGGCATCCCTGAGTAGAAGTCAAGCTTTATTGAACTTTAACGTAAAAATAGGTGTACGTAACTGTTTGTGAGCAAATTCAAGCCTCACGTTGGTTCTTGCAAGGCACTTCTGTGGATGAGCCTATAGTTTTCAATAGCTGCCAAAAGAACTGCAAATGCAGGTTGCCCTGCAGTTCTACTGGGGAAGGAATTCCTTTATTCCTTTTTTCAGGTTACATTTGGATGTTCCAAGTGACTTGTGGCATGGGCATGCTGTTTTTTCTCAGTAATTCCTGGTGTGTCGAGCACTTCAAAATGAAGCAAGCCATGTCTGCACTGTTTACATAAGAGTATGTGAAAAAGTCCGGTTGTTCCTTTACTTCATTGTTTTCTTGACTAATTTGCTGTGTAGGTTGAACAGGCTTCTGAACAGAACTATTAAGAAACTAAGCGTGTATGAGGAGAGAGAGACGGAGTCCCAGCTTAATTTGCAGGGAGAAATGAAGAACAGGTATTCTGAAATGGTCAATGAAGGTGGTAGATTAAGAACAAAGGTGAGCACTGGCTTGTTTGGGGTTTTTTGGTGATTTTCTTTTGGTTATGGTTTGTTGTTTTTTTTTTCTTTTGAGACCTGTATTACCCTTTCCCTGTACTTTTTTGGTATAGTCAATTATCTGTTCTCTTCTTGATGCTCCTTCTGTTCTTGTACTAGTAGTAGATGATGATAAACACTGCTGTAGTTGTCATCATGGGTAAAAATGAATGTGCAGAGCAGTTTCTGCAAAGGCATATCAAGGGCGAGCTGAGAGTCACAGCAAGGCTGGCAGGGTCCGTGACCTCGCAGGCCAGGGAACAGTCCCACAGGCCCTCACCAGGAAGAGCAGAACAGGTCCGGTGACAGTAAGCAGGGTCAGCCAAGAGTGCAGATCGCCAGGCCAGTCCATAGGGATGGGCAGGTCTGCAGTCCAACCAGGACGTCACGTCCACGGGTGAGGGTCAGGGCTGAGAGCAGTGAGGCCCGGCACAGGCCTGGCTGCAGCTTGAGGCTGTGGCAGAGTCTTCTACGTCTCACAGATGAATTCCTTCTCAGGAAGAGATCTCCTTCTATGACTAGGTGACGGACCTAGTGGATGAGGGAAAGGCTGTGGATGTGGTCTACCTGGACTTCAGTAAGGCCTTTGACACCGTCTCCCACAGCATTCTCCTAGAGAAGCTGGCGGCTCACGGCTTAGACAGGTGTACTCTGCGCTGGGTCAAAAACTGGCTGGA